GAAAGCTGCGTGAGGATAAGTGAGAAGCTCTCACCTCTGCTGGCCAGGGTTGTTTGTCTGATTTCCCAGCTGCAGGAGAGGAATTAAGACTGTCCATGCCTCAGCGGGCTGTGCTTGTTGGGACTTGGGTGAAAGAGTGTGTCTTCTCCTTAACCTGGGATTCTATCTTCTCCTTCTCCTTCTCCTTCTCCTCCCCTTTGTTATTGAATACATGAGGAAAACAATAGATAAACCATGTTGCTGTTGAATTGAAAGAAACTAATGAATGTCGTGGAAAATGTTCATGTGGTGCTTAGGAAAAGTTGTTCAGGAAAATGTGTGAATGCATTGGTTGCAATTTTGAAAAAAGTGGGAAGTCCTGTACTCCGTTAAGATGTGTGGCTTGTGAGTAAGTGGCTGTGTGCTGTCTCTCCTAAACAGCTTCAGCACTCAAAAGGAGAAGAGATTTGTTGGTGGCACCTGACTTTGTTCTCCATGTTTTCCTGCCTTAACTCCAAGCCAAGACGCTTTGCTCCATCCGACGTCCCCACTTCAGCCTTTCCTGTCGTGTCTCCTGTTTTCCTCAGCTTCTGCAGGACGTGCTCTCATCTTGCCTGCTAGTTACATGGCTGGAGGTCAGGACCAATGGGCGGAAGATGAATGACGAAGGGAGAATGCATGGCCTTCGTATACAACCAATGTGAGCTGACCTCCCGTCCCCCCTTCAGGGCGTTTGCCCTATGTTTACAAACGGTGCTTTACAGCTTCCTGAGATATGCTCCTTGCTTTCCAGGCCTCCTAATCATCACAATCCAACCTTTGAGTTTGCCCCAAGCATTCACTGAGTGTCTGTACCTGTGCAGAGTGCAAACCTTGTGAGGTTGAGATTGACTTGATAGCAGAGCTGCTGCTGCTTCCCTGGCTGTGCACCCAGAGGAAACTGACTGGGAATGACAAGGATTAAAAAGATAATTGGGCAAGAGGGGAAGGATTGGATGTTGAGGAAACCGATACGTTGACAAGAACGACTGAAGCATGCCTTCCCTTTACCTCACAACTTTGAAAAAGGAGAGGCACCATTGCATGCAAATAAGGAAAATATGCCAACAGGGGTAGAAGGAA